TCAGCACCTCCTTTGGAGGTTGTGCATAAAAGCAGTGGTGGGTGGGGGGAATGCAAAGGGTACCCCCCCCCGAATGCTTCGGTCTCTCTGCATCACAAGCAAGCACACTGTGAGGAGGGGACCGAGGGATCTTGACTGGCTACAGCTGAACGACCATCAACTTCCATAAACAGGAGAAGAGGACAGTGCGGCCGTCTAGATGGAGTTGGACCACAGCTCCCATCATCCTCAACCATTGATCATGCTGGCTGGGGCTGATGAGAGTTAAAGTCTGACATTCTGCGAAGGGTCAACCCAAGCTTGGCCACAGATCTGGGAGAAGTTGGGCACTCAACGCTAAGGAGCTCTTTGACTCAGTTTCCCGCCCCTCCCAGGAGTGCTCCTGGCTCCCAGCATCCTTCCCTTATCCCTGAACCAGGATGTTCCTTCCCTCTCCCAGATTCCTGCACTCCACCAAGCGTCACCTCAGCCACTAGACTTCACTAGCTTTCCCCAAGAACTCTGCATCTTCAATTTAGCAGCACCATGCCATAGTCAGCCACCATCCCAGAGAGATTTTAGGGCAGGGCTGGGCAGGAGGAGAGCTCCAGATGTTCTGGACTTCAGCTCCCAGAAGCCCCTGTCCTCATCACCCATGGCCAGGAATTCTGGGAATGGAAGTCTAAACCAACTGGGGGGCACTAGGTTGGGAACGCTGCCCTGGGAAGTGTGGCCCACTCTGTCTCTCCTCCACTGTCATTTGCAAAGAGCCATGACCTGGTGGAAGGAGGGAAAAAAAGCAAAATATACGAGGAGAGATCTGACAGCACCATGGCAACATTTGGGAGCTGACACTTCGGTTGCCTCAGCAACCAAATAATTCTTCTGTCATTTCCTCATGGAGAAGGGGGAGGGACGTGATGCAGCCAAGTTTTCCTAGTCAGAACGTGCTCTTGTTAATGCCCAGCCTCACACGGAATGGCTGGGCAAGAGGACTGAGCCCTGGGCCTTTGGGAATCTGCAGCTGCCCCCCAGTCAGAGCAGGGTGTGGGGCAAAGAGCAGAGAAAAGGCTGTCTGGGGGAAAGAGGCCGAAGAGCTGTCCCTGCCTCAGACACCCAGGGGAGCGCGATGCGGAGACGGCTTCTCCCGCAGCCCAGCAAAGTAACTTGCATCCCACCCGTTAGTGATTCAGAAGCTGTTTAATCATGTTTTTGATTAAATTCTGTGTGCCCGAGTGTGCCAGCCCTTTCTTGTGTGTTGTTAGATCAGCCTCATTCCAATCAGCTGCCCTCCAGATGTGCTGGACTACAACGCTTATCATCCCCGGTCAGTCTAGGCAATGGTGATTCTGGCTGGGGGTACTGGGGGCGGTAGTCAAACAAATCTGGATGGTACTGCATTGGGGAGAGATGAGTTAGATTATGAAAAGGTGTTGATAAATAAATTAATCTGAAACATTTTCCCTGATTAACTGACTCGCATTTCAAGGCTAACTATATTTAACACACAAACTGTAAGTAGCAGGAATCACTTCATAAATAGCATTGCCCTCTCACTCTCTGATCCACAGCGTGATGCATCTTCTAAGATGAAACTCACATCATTTAAAAAAGGAGGTACCTCCTTCAAAGTATCATTTAAATCATACCTACATTTATGTAGCGTTAAGGTGCATTCCTGTGGATATTTTGAGAGGATAAAAGTCCTACCATTTCCAAGATGCCCCAACTAGCTATGGCAGGAATTTTTCTGTCTAAAAATGCAGGGTTGCACCCTCCGGTTGACCAAGACTCCCACAATCCCTCAATTCATGCTGCAATCTAATATGCAAATACTTACAACTGGATCTGCACAGGAGCACACTGGGAAAATTCTTCAACTGGATGACAGTTTCCACCCCTGCTTTTTAACAGGGTGGAAATCTGTGCATGTATAAACAGGGAAAATCCTAGTAGTTAGAAGGTGTAGGGTTTTTGCCTATCTAAACGTTACATAAGTTGTGTCCTCAAATTCTTAGCTTCAGTGGCACAGCTGCCGTTGGACACATAGATACCTTTGTGATGGAAGACTGCCAGGGCTTGGCATAGACTTGGGAATGCTGGGAAGTGAGGATGCAGAGGAGAGCCCTGAGTCAGGAGGTGGTACATTAGGGGTTACATATTTATTTGAGCTAAATTTTTATACTACATTCACACCACTGCCTCTCAGAAGAGCATAAGGTCTGGTGAACATAAAGGTGTTCAGATCACCTCTTGTTTCTGCTGGTCCCGTTAGCATTGTTGTTGCTGCTGCATTTGTTCTGACCAAGAGTTTTAGATTTATATCCCACTGTTTTTCTTACAAAGAACATTATTCTCCTCCTGCTGCTCTCACTATTATCCCCACCACAACAACCCTGTGAGGTAGGTTGGGCTGAAAGTCCGTGCCTGGCCCAAAGTCACCCAGTTGGCTCCATGGCTGAGCGAGGACTGGAACCCAGGTTGCCCAAGTCCCAATTCTGCACTCTTGATCACCAGCTCTCATCAGTGGCAAGAAAGAATCACTTCTGTGTCACTCTTCCTCAGCCCAGTGTTGTCCAGACATTTTGGATTTCAGTTCCCATTAGTCACAGCCAGCATAGCCAGTGGAGAACACAATTGGAGAGGGAACAGTTTGGAAGGCTGATTTGCATGACGACACAAGAAGCCATCTTGAAATGGGAAGAGTCTCTTTCCCATCGCCTTCCCGTTTTATTCATATTTACATACCACCTGATTCAGTAAAAAGTACAGGACGGAAAATGCTTATTCCCCACGTCTCCATTTTATCCGCACAATTACCTGCGAGGCCGGTTCAATTGAGACTGAGTGACAGGTTTAAGGTGATCCAATGTGTTCAGTGGCAGAGCAGGGATAGGGACAGAAATCATCTTAATCCAGCATTTCAATGACTTCTCTACAATTCCTATTGTCTCCACAGCAGCAGCATGTAGCAATTACATATATTCAGGCCAGTTAATTTATATGCGGTCAAATCACTGCTGCAGGTTTATATGAAAAGCTTCCTACAATTAGGCTGAGCCAATGCTAGGCAGTCGCTGACCTCTGTTTCCATTAGTAGAGCCTTCCTTCCTTATTACACTGACGCTTGCACCTTGTTTCTTCACTGTGTGTACTCTACTCATTTCATTTGCTAAATTGCTTTTCTTGCCTCTGTGCTTCACAGAATTCCAAAGTAGACCTGCTATTAAGTACTTCTTTGGATCCTACCTCTGGGATTCTCCTCTTTTCTTAAACTAAACCACAGCTGCATGGAAGCCCAATCTGGATCAGAATATTGTGGGGAGTGACCATTCCCCCATGAAGTTTTCCCCCTGAAAAATCCCCACCCACACAGCTGCAATTTGCCGCCAGAGCTGCTATTTACAGAGCAGCTCCTTTAGGCGTGCCCACGGACAAGTGCGCAGATGGAATGCTTGATTTTTCTTTATTTCTTGCCTACCGCCTCACAGGCAAAATAGGCTTGTGACGGAAGTTGGGAAAGAGTTCCAAATCTGCTCGGGTGCACGGAACAAGCTGTGTCATCCTTTGGCTCCTGATCATCATTGCCAACATTATTTCTTTGACTTGCAGCAATGCTTTCCAAACCAGTGTTTTGATGTGGTCACGTGCAGCCAGGGATCCTTCACGGTAGCCGTAGGTGTAGCTACGGAATAGCCATCCTCCCCGCAGGCCAACGGAATAGTTCCACTGCACACGCAAAGTGCGTGGGAGCAGCTCTGTGGCCCCACTGGAGGAGCCTCCATCCATCACATATCCTGCTTCGCCCGTGTGCTTTTAGAACGGGAGGGGAGGGCACACAGCTCCGTGCAAGAACCGAGCAATGCAGCCTAGGTGTCAGGGCCCGCTCAGATGCCATTGTGGGCCCGATGCCTCTAAACAAGCATCTGGTTCAGATTTAGAGCAGGACAACTGGGAGCCCAGCTCATGCACGGGCAACTGAAGGCCTGGGAGCTCAGCTCTGCCTCGTGCCCCAACCTACTGCAGGCCAAAGGAGGGGGAAATTCCCATCCATCATAGCTACAAGATGCCCTGAAGAAAACCTCTGACGGATATGCACAAAAGGTGGGGACTGTGCAGGAGAATGTCACCCAGGCTATGGCACCAACTTAGATAAGGCGGAAGAGAGTAACCCCATTTAGATGTAGTGACCATTGAGCAGCCAGATGCCTGTGTCAGGAGGGGAGTTTAGCAGCACCTCCTCTGTATTTACCCCGGTGCGCAAGCTGCAGAACCTTTGCTGAGCATATTAATTGCTTGGAAAGCTTTCTTCTTTGGAGTCACTGTGAATCCTGAGCTCTTGTCTGCCTTGGATCTTGATTGCTAAGACTCACAATTTATTGCTGAGTCGCCTGACTCTACCTGAAATCTAGCCTTAGGACTGTCTCTTGAGCAAAGCTGTATGCCCTTAGCTTATGTCTAGAGTATTTGAGTTACTGGGGATTGCTGTAAATTCAACCAAGAGCTCTGGAAAGCAGATCTACTGCAATAAAGGGCTTCATTCCTACCTGGGATCTCTGCAGATTCGCCAGAAAGTGTCTGAGAGCAAGCCCTGACCACGCGGAAGGCCCCAAGTTCAATTTCAGGTTAAAAGGAATCGGATTGCAAGTGACAATAAAGATCTTTCCCTGAGATGCAGCGGGGTCCGCTGGACTGCAGAGTGGCTTGACATGCACCGTACCTTGCAGCCCAGGGCTAGGTCAATAAATAGTCTGGGATAAGGAAGAGTACCAAGCTCTTAATAAAACAGGCAATATATATATTTGTTTCCAACAGAGGGCAGAAAACAACACCTCCCTCTCCAAGTTCATCAGTTAGCTGGAGCAATCAGCAGGCACACCAGCATTGGACTGGGGGAGGAGAGTGCCTTCCTCTAGAAACTTCCCTCTCCCGGGGAGTGCGGTGTCAAGTCTGCGAGTGGTGGCTCTGGTGCTCCTGGGATGTGGCTCTCTCTGGCTCCTGCCCGGCCAGTGGCCAGACCCTCACACACGGGACGTCTCGTAGCCTTCCAGGGCCACGGGGTTTTCGTACACGGGGGTGTCTCCCATCTTCTCACTGTCCTTCCGGGTTTCATGCTGGATACTATCCAGGAGGCACTGGTGAAGGAAGATGTACTGAGCCTGCAGAGACAGAGATGGTGCCGTGGGGTGCCGCTGCTGATGGGAGCACCCCCCTCTGGCTCGCGTCGTCATCGATCCAGCAGGAGTCTGCTCCATCACAGCAGCTGAGCCTTCCCTGGGGGGCCCCTGCCTGTTCATTGGGAAGCTTCCAGCATGAAGGCTTTCTGCAACCTGGATACTTTGGGCTCTCCTGACTCTCACAGCCTTCTGCCACAAGAGGTGATGATGGAGCCCAAGCCAAGATGGTCCTGGAGAGGGGGCTGGACAAATTCATGGGCTGTCTGCCTACCATGGAGTAAGTCCATCAAACAGTGACTACTTGTTAAAAGCAAAAATAAACTTCTTTCGTTTTGTGTCTATGCTTTCTACTAGCAGTTGTTCCCTGGGCAATTTGCAATAGTTCTCCAAGTGGTTCCCAGGAACGCCAATATTTCTTTAGAGATGCCAGACCACAGACCCTGAGGGCTAAATCTGGCTGAGCTAGTGTCCCAATTTGGCCTTCTGTGTTTTTCCCAGAAGGCCACAGCTCCCCTCCCCGCTCCCCTCCCATGGCCTTACCCCTTTTCATCCCCAACTGCCAATCATCCGCTGGGGTTTCTCCTAGCATTTCTGAAAAGCTGAAATACTTCCCTTGCAGTTTGGTTATTGGAAGGAACAGCTTTAAGCTGTTGATACATGATGGAACGCCTCTCCCAGCCTCAATCTGTTCAGACCCTACGAACGACATATGGCGTCTTTCTTCAACTGCCACCTTCAGGGGAGGCCCAGAAAGAGGCAACACGGCGGAGGGCCTTTTCAGTGGTGGCCCCCAATTGTGAAACTGCTGTCCTGTTGAGGCTCGCCTAGTACCACCATCGCCATCTTTTCAGCATCAGGTTAAAACCGTCCTCCATTCTCGAGCCTTTAATGGCATAGGATGGCTTGTGTACTGTTTTAATCAGGGCTAGTTTTTAATGAAAATATGTTAGCTGTTAAACTGTTTTATAAGTTTGTAGTTTGGAATCTTGAGCTGTTTTTAGATTTGAACATTGGAATTTTATACTGTGTTCTATTGTACTAGTATTTTTATTGTATCTTTTGTATTTGATTAATTGTTGTGAATGGCCCAGACAGCTTTGGCTAAAAGAAATGAAATGAATAAATAAAACAAGCTAAAGCGTGTGAGTGTTTGGGGCATTTTAAGCCCAGCCCACCACTGGGATGTGGCCATCAACAGTTTCTCCAAAATTTAATTTGCCCATCAGGTCTGACACCCCTGCCTTAGAGAATGATGCCTCACTTTTCAATAGACTGGTCAGGGGGGTTCACAAAATTTTAAAGCCCCCGAAGAACAGATTAAAAACCATCCAAAGCATAGGCACACACGAATTTTAAAAACGCAGGCAAATCAATCCGAGCTGCATGAAAACATGAGGGGAAACGGTGCTGGACATGCCTTTTGCTGGAGAACCAAAGTCAGGCAGGAGACTGTCTCCTGGGCTTCTCCGAGGACGCTGTTGGCTAGTTTGGGAAAGATGGTTGTGGCCAAGGTGGCCTGGACTGATCCAGCAGGCTTTGCACAGATCAGCCGGGCGTTGTTTGGAGAACTCCCTCAACAGTGAATTCCCGTGTCATGTACGCACGTTCTGGCAACCCTCAGGGGTGTGCATGAGAGGCTAACCATTTGGCTCAGGATCGGAGGATGGGATTGTGAAGGAGAGGTTGCCCCTGCCGGTGGGACTGACAGCTTGGACTCTGATTGCGAGAGGATTGTTCAAGCGGACTCTGTTCCAGCTGTGGGCCAAGGTCCTGGGTTAGGCCTGTGCCTGCTCTGGGGGAGATGAGTTCAAGAGCTGCCAAGGGGCCCAGTCAACCCCCTGTGGGAACAAGGAAGAGCAAAGAGAATTAGAGATGGGACATCTATCGGATGGGGAACTCGATCTTCCTGAGGAGGTGGACCCGATAGTCCCTTGTCACAGTTGGAGGGTGGCCCGATTGGGGTCCCAGAGGGAGGAACACAGGCAGGCCTGGTTCCACAACGCTCCTCCCTCCTGAGACAGGCACAGAAGGGTTCATAAGCAAAGCGTTAGGTGAAGGGGGCCAGTGGGGGTTCAACATTTCACCTTGTGTATGCTCAGAGGCTTGCATGTAAAATAAGGACATTTTGCAAAGAAGCGCTGGCTAGACTGTTACTGCTGGGAGGGAGAAGCACGGCTCCCGACACCCCACAAGAGACATAGTCATGTTTGCAATTTGCTCCACGCCCGGCGTACTTGGGGTCTCTCACCTCGTTCTGAATCATGAGTGGGCGGCTCATCCTCAGCTTCTGGACGAAGGAAAAGCCGCCAATCATCCCCATCTCCTGGGCTTGCCGCAGCAGGCAGTCGAGGGCGATGAACGTCCCCGTCCGGCCCACCCCAGCGCTGCAGGTGTGAGAGAGCGACCGAGACATTGTGACCCCCCGAGAGTGGAGCAGACAAGAGGGCATTACTAAGCCGAGAAAGTACAGAGGGGGCAAGGGAAAGGATTAGGAGCCTGGAGCAGCTCTCCCGTGAGGAGCAGCTACAACAACGGGGGCCTTTCAGCTTGGAAAAAAGGCGAGTGGAGACCTGAGAGAGGTGTTTAAAGGCATGCGTGGTCTGGAGGAAGTGGAGAGGGAGACATTTTTCCCAGAACACTGGAACCTGCGGCCCTAGAGCTGTTGTTGCAAGGATAAAATAGAGCTATGTAAGTCATTTGGGTTCCTCACAAAAGGAAAAAAAGCAGGACATAAATGCAAAGTAGCAGTAGCAGTAGCAGTAATCATAGAGATGTATGACAACGACAACAGATTTGATACACACCAAACCGAAGATTGGAAAGAGGAGAAACGGAAAGAAACTGGAGCTGACAGATTTGATTAAAATCTTCCATCCAGAAAAAATGGGTCATAAGCACAGAAACAGAGAAAGGTTTTGAGCTGGACCTGGACAAGTCTAGACTGGAAAAAAGGCAAGGCTGGCTGGGGCATGCTGGGAAATGTAGGCCTTTTTCTGTCTCAACTGGCACAGGACTGTGCCTTAAATCTGGATCTGACCCATTGAAACAAGAATAATTAGGCACAGGCTCAGCTACTTACGACAGGAATCTCCGGTTTTCTTTTCTTTTTTAATGTAAGAGTGTTATTAAACACTCACACGTGTACTAATTAAAATGTTTCTATCCTGCCTCTTGGTCCAAGTTCTTTGAAGCAACTCACAGCACTTTAATCTAAATAAATCCCCAGAGCTTTAATATTTAAAGCAAGCCCTATAGAACAGAAAATGAAACTCAGCAAGTGCCAATAATAAGGTTTCATTAACTGAGAGAGAGAATGAGAAAGGGTATTCTCCTGCAGAGGTCAAATGGGCTCGGGGTAGAGAGTTTCAAAGGGGAGGTGCCACATCCAACCAAGAAGGCCCTGCTCAGTGTTGCCATCTGCTTCATCCCCAGAAATTGAGGGCATCATGAGAGGCCTTTGGGGGAAGATCTCACTAGCTGGGCCTCCCCCCACCCCACAGAAGCAGGTGGTCATTTGGTACCTCAGGCCCAGGCTGTTTGGTTCAAAGGCCCTGCAGCTCAAGCCCTTCGCCCAGGTTGCACCTCCCTGGCAGGACACCTGGCAGGCCTGCCCCCAGTCACAGCGACACAGACAAGAAGCCCTCTTTTGCCAGGTGGGCCATTTGTCCACCTGGCCCAGCAGTAAGGTCGGCTAATTACTCAGTATTAAGTAGCATTGCTTATCACAGCTTCACGACCCTCCACGGGGTCCAGCGGAGCCCTTTCCCATCTCCCCCGTTTAAAAGCAGAGAAGCCATGGATGACAGCGGCTCCTCCAGGCAAAGCAGGTGCTCTGCCGGCCCCCGACTCAGCTGTGGTCCCACCCCTGCTCAGTCCCCAGAATTCCTGGGTCCCTTCTCCTCTGCTTGCCATGGGCCTACCTGCAGTGCACCAGCGCCGGCCCGCTGCCCCGGTGCTGTTCTATGTCTCTCCTCACGAGGTCTCGGAAGGGAAGGACGGTGCTTGTGACGGGGGGCACCCCGTGGTCAGGCCACGACGTGTAGTGGTAATGCCTGGCGAGGCGGAGCTCAGATCTGCTCATCTGTTGGGACATGCACCCTTCAGACTTTCCCGCCAGCCCCATGCAGGCCCTTCTGGGGACGGAGGAAGCGTCACCTGCTTCATGTGCCTTCGCTGCAACAGCCTGTGAGTCTGGCAAACTCACTTCGACGTCAGGGCACATTATGGATAACAGCACAGCAACAAACGTCTATACCGCTGCCTGCCAAAGGAACCTGCCTAGTTTATAGCAAACCCTCCTTTATTTCTGGGTGGCCCTCTTTCTCTTCTGAAGTGAGCCCCCCAAGTTCAGCATCAGAGGCGATGAGCAGGACCGCCAACAAAATGTTGCACTGTGTCTTTGCCCATCGTCAGAGCTGGGCTGTGGGCAGCGGTCTGAGGAGAGCCAGGATCGAGGTGCCACGGCAAAGTGAAGAGGAAGGACCAAAGGGCAGTCCAGGACAGGGGGTGGAGGAGAAACCCGGAGGGAGGGCCAAAGAGCATCCCAGCCACGGTCTGGGCTGGAGTGCAGGGAAGTGTGCCGCTTGAGCAAGGCTCCACCAGCACAGGAAGTTCTTTGGGTGCCTTCCTGTCGGGAGGATCCAGTGGCCAGCCCAGGTGGGCAGAGTCAGTCTGGAGCCCGAGGGCAGAGTTCTTGGCGTGGCAGCCAACTCAGCTCAGTAGCCCCCCAGCAGCTCCTGACACCTCTTGCCCAAGTGCCCCTCTGCAGGGTCCCAGCCTCCCCTCGCCTCGACGGTGCCGAAGGTGCAAAAGACTCAAGCAGAGCAATCCCCTCCCCTCCCCTCCCCTCCCCTCCCCTCCCCGAACCAAGTTTACTTTTACAAGTTGCTTTCAACATTCTGGGCTCAGTGGGGCCCCCGAGCCCACACAGTGCTCATTAGAGGTGTTGGTTGTGGTTGTTGCTTCATTTGTGCATTTCAAAAGGTATGTGGCAGTTTTGCACACCTTGGGCTTCACCAAAGCTTGCCGACGCCTCCCTGTCACTTCTTGCCGCCCCCTTTTTGGCCGCAATTCTGTTGGCACTCAGCCCCCTGTGGCTGCTCTTAGCAGGGGTGCCAATTTGTATTAAAAGCCGAGAAAGAGGGTTGTTTCAAATCGGTGGCTGCCACTGTTGCAATGCTCGAGCGGCAGTCACCCGAAACGCTGCAGTGGCTGTCATCACCGTGCAAAGTCACCCGGGCAGAGCGGCTGGAGAGGGTTCCCAGGTTCCCAGTCACTCACCTGTTTGATACTGAAGTCCCGGATCGTCCAGTCGGGGAGGATGGTTTCCCTGACAACAGATACCATAATGTCACCATAAGTGCAGGGAGTGTAGTCCAGGGGCCAATAGTGTTCACATCTCACCTGAACGGAAGAAGATTGGGGAAGAGGACACAAGATGGTGAAAGGAATCGTTGTTCCCAGCTGAAGGGCTGCCCTCTCAAGTGTTGACCCCCTGCCCCTGGATTTAAGATCAGCACAGGAGACTTTGCCTGAGGTGTCCTTGAGGAATGTGGTCCGTGGGGCTACCAGCCGCAACAGAGCCTTCTCAGTGGTGGAACCACCTCTACTATGGAGCTCTTTCCCAGTCAGGATTCACCAATCCCCCATGCCATTGCCAAGCAGGTGCCAGTTAAGGATATACTTATTTGTATAAGCTTTTTCAGGTATAAGTGAGTGTTCTCTCTGGTTGATGGTGTTGTAGTGATGGTTTGATTGCATGTTATCGTGCCCCTGTAATTTTACAGTACTGATTGTCATAGTGTTGATGATGAGAAGGGCTGTTAGCGCTTCCTTGTGTGGAAGGGTGGGGAATGAGTGAATGAATGAATGGTTGGGGAGGTGTATTACAGTTCTCAGACATTTGCCAAGTTTACGTCCCACAGTTACAAATCAAGGGTCTCTAAAGACAAGGGAAAACCCTAGAAAACTGCAGCCCTAGAACTGCTGATGCTTTGGAAGGAGGTTCCCCCCGGAAACAACCTATCTGGCTGCCACAACAGCAGCAACACACCCCACTTGGCTGCAATTTCCTGCTTTGGGTATCTGCTGCAGGTACTGCGTATGCACTGCTTCTGCAAGTACTTTCCTCAGCACCAAAAATACCCGCTGCTTGTGGGGTGCTTGCTTATTCCTGTAACTCAGGGGTGTGGAACCTTCAACTCAAGAGTAGGCAACGTGGTGCTCAGGGGCTCCAGTGTATTCCTGGATACCTTTCTGGGCATCTGCCATGGAGCTCTGCCCCTTCCGTTTAAGAAAATATCAAAGAGACCATTTTCCCTCTAGCAGCTGTGGCCATTACAGCTTAGGATTCTGAAGTTAATGACAAATGTGGGTCCAAAGAAGAGGCCTTCTGCTTTGAGGCCTGGACTCCACCTGGGCCTTGTGCTCAGCCGCATGGGATGGTGACCGGTCCTTTGTCACACCACCCATGGCATCCATTTTGTGGTGGTGCCTGTGGCAGTTTTGCAAATTGCCAATGTGCGCATGGTCTGAGAAGGTAGCCTACCCCTGCTTTAAGTCCCGGGCCGTATCCCCTCAAGGGGAAATTATGGAGGCCACATATTGGTGGTGGGTTGAGCCAGAACCAGCACCAGGTGGAGCCAAAGATAAGAGTTGGTCAGACTGAAGCCCAAAGCGGGCAGGGACACCTGTTCGCTCTCTTATTAGCACCCTTCCTGTCTCCCACTCCACCATCTCACATATACAAATCGGTATCTGATTCATCTCTCGGCCATTCATTGCTCTTACGCACACAGATGGCCGCCCGCTCCTGCAAAGCGCAGGTGAGGAAGCCGGGCACTTTCTCTCGGTTTGCCTGAGCCACAATACCTCCATGTTCCCCTTCCACACAGTCTGCCCATCCTTGCTCAGAAGCTGCAGGCTCCGGATGTCAGAGCAGCAGCAGCAGCCCGGCCTCTGGCCCCACGAGGCAGGCAAAGCGGGAGCCTGGAGGCCCAGCCCTGCAGTGAGGCCACCGGTGCATCTTTCCAAAGGCCGCTTTAAGGCACTTTGTGGCTGGACCTCCAAGCTCTCCTGTGCAGCCAGTCTCCCTCCCTCATGAGGATATTAAAGTGCCCTCTGCCAAGGCATCAGCCACTCACACCACGGCAGGACAGAGGAGGAATGAGTGGCGCGCATGGAGGAGATCCGGCAGGCCAGAACCAAAGGCTCGTTGGCCTGCCTCTTTCCCCCCATGCCTGAGTTTCTCCTCCGTGGTCTGCAGCACTGGGAAAATCATAGCATCAATCCAGAACTGTGGCCTCAGAGGGGAGAAAACGGCCGCAGCAGCCTGAAGAAACTGTCCTGCTGTGGTGAAGAGTGCAGGACCGGGACGCAGGCGATCTGGGTTCTGGTCCCCGCTCAGCCATGGCGCCAACTGGGTGACTTTGGGCCAGTCACAGACTCTCAGCCCAGTCTACCTCACAGGGCTGTTGTGGGGATAGGATGGAGAGAGCAGCAGGAGGAGACTGATGCCAAAGATGGGCAATGGGAGGGGCAGCCCTTGCAGGGTGTCCTTTTGAATGGGTGGCCCCAGAAGGGGTAACTTGACGCTCAAGGGCATCTGGGGCCCCAGCCTGGTGGGGAGATCCTCACCCGTCCATTCTCTATGCAGTTGGTGAGCATGACCACGGTCACGACCTGCTGCTCCCATATCATGCGCCAGAAGTCGAACACCGTTCCAGGCAGGGGGCCCTGGGCGGCAATGAACTCCTTTTCCCCTACATAGCCCTGGCAGAAAAGAGCTTAGCTTTAGGCAGAATCAAGCAGAACTCTGACACGTATGCCTCCCTTTCTAGAAAGTATTCAAGGTAGGCTATAATAAAAAAAATACAGATTAATAAGCAGAGAGCAATAAAGCAAATGTTCTAAAAAGACAAACAGTGCAATGTTCTGCATGTTGGCGTGGAAGTGAGGTCCATTAAGTTCAATGGTATTTATGGCCAGATAAGGATGCACAGATTCGCGGTCTAAAAGACCAAAAAAAGGCAGCGGGAAGGGAGAAGAACTGAGGGATGGTAACCCCTGCGACCTCGCGGAAATGAAGCAGCCTTGATGGGCTGCCTGAATGCAAGCAGCACAAAGCTGGAATAAAAGGATGTCACAGCCCCTTTCCTGTGGCAAGAGGTGCAAAATGAAAGATGCCTTCCTGGAGCAAAGCTGTTGCTCATGACCTGGAGGTGTGACATATGGAGGCAAATCTAGAGACTGGGTTGCTGGATGCACTTCGCGGTAAAATCGAATCCCAGTTCCGTGGCAAAGTAAGTCACAGAGCTGTGTCCAGGGTAGACAAACATGGTCCAAATCCACAGAAGAAGGTTGGAGAGGGAACTCACAGGGATATAACTAGCATTGATGTAATCTGAGTTGGGGTCTCCAGGCCTGGGGCTGAGCTGGACTCGTGAGTGGTCATCTGCAGAGAGGAACCAAAAGCATTACAACTGGCATGTTAGAGAGCAAATTAAAAAATCGATGAAACCATTTTTCCAAGTTGGTAGAGTAAAGCCATAATAATTACAGGTAGAAAAAGAGAGGTCAGCAACTGGCAGCCCCTTGACCAAGCCCAGCTCTGCCGAGTGTCAGGTAAACCCCTTCTATTGCCAGGAAAAGTTATTTTAAGTTGGGGGTGATGAGATCAGGTACCAGCAATGAGGAAAGGGGTCTTCTCCGCAGGTGTCTTTGGGAAGATGTAGTGCTTTGTGGCCCAGTCAGTCATTTTCATTGATCTCCTCAAAATAACCCACACACCCAGAAATTTAGCTGCCAACCAGAGTGCCAGGCAGTCTGGACCCAAGTCTGGACCCCTAACACCATTAGGAACAACTAAATAGTTTTCTACACTGAATTATATGGAATGGAATCAGACCCTCTGATATCTAGAACTGGCAAAGAGGAACGATATACTGGGGGAGAAGCACAGGATATGCAAAGCTAGGGATATGTCCTCACACACCTTGGATCGTGAAGCTTAGTGGTGGAATAAGCAGGAAAAGGCAGTGCCTGGGCCACGAGCTTCAAGTCTGAGATCAGATTCAGACTCAGGCCCCCCAGTCTAAATCCAATACTCTCAATCCCTCACTGCTTCTTCATAATGCGTTGATATTTGCGAGCATCCATGCACTGTGAATTCATCTGGGGGAAGGAGACGTTTTCTCTGCTCCAGTTCCTCTCTTCCAGCTGAAGCCGGAATTCCCTATAGCCATCCAGCTGGGAATTCTGAGCTAACAATCAGGTGATTCACAAGCAAGAATGACAAACCACTCCCATCTCTTCCTGATCGAATCCCTCACCTTTGCAAGAACTAGAGGATTCAAGCAAGTGCTTTTTGTTTTGGTGGAGAGGGGTAAGGGGGAAAGGAAAGGGCAGGGAAATGATGAAACGAAACGAAACGAAACTCACATGGCAGAACATTGCTGTAGCGATTCTTCGCTCGATTTTCAGGCCGTTGCGCCACGTGCTGGGACTGCTGGGTCCCTATGTCCTGCAGCTGCTGTTGCAGGAACAAGGAGAGGGGAAACAGTGCATCAGTAACGCCAGGTGTGGAGAGCTGCAGAGTGGGAAGGCTCCTCCGGCAAAGCAAGAACGTAAGCCAAACCAAGCAAACAAAAGAAAAACTGTGGAGCTGAAGTGCTTCAGTGACGGAGGTAGCTTGGCTTCCATGCCTCTTTTCCAGACAGTGATTCTAACAGCACCACTTAGATGTGAGTCCCACTTAATTCAGCAAGGCTCACTTATCCCTAATTCCACGTAGGACGGCATGCAGCTACATTAGCGAAGGGAAGGATGGCTAGAGCTGTCCCACCTGGGATGGGGGATCACCCTTTCACATTTCTGTATCACCCCATAGCCAAGCTGTCTGGGCAGTTCGCCAAATTAAAACCCCAACATGGACATGATGCGACAGAAACCTTCAATAATTTAAAAAGAGAGCATGTCAATTATATCCAGGAATCAATTGCTTGTTCAGGAGCAGCCTCTGCCACCTGCGCTCTCCACTGTCCAGACAAAGAGTGCTTTCCAGCATGCGAAGCTCTCTTAGTACTTGTCTACATGGGGGTATTACTCTGTGGTTTGAGAACTGAACGCTGTGTATCCTGTCCCACTCACTTCATAGCCTCTAGGCGGCACTGTGGCACAGGAGTGTAGTGCAAATACAAGTGAAGAAACCACACTTCCTTTCCCTTTCACAATCAAATGCCACATTTTTCCAAAAGTGCTAGTTAGAGACAGGAGCGAAAGGGAAGATCACATCCCCATCTGTAAGCACCTATAAACAACCGTGCCTAGAGAATGGCACGTGTGCCTCATGCAGAAAAGTCCTGAACAAAGACCGGATGCAAAAGATGCAGTGCAGTAATTCCCAGTGAGGAGAGATGCCCAGTGTTGCTGCCCATGTTGGCTCCGGGTTCTGGGGTGCCCTTGAGCAAGACACCCTCGGCGGGGCTCTGAGCAGGTCTGCCTTCTCATGGGCAGCAGTACCAGCTGAAGCTGATGGTCCTCTCTCTCCTCCCCATGGCTGCCCCCTGCTCACTTGATGGGCATCAGCTGCTCCTTCTTTTCACCAGCCCCGTGGACTGGACAGGAGTGAGAAGCAGTTTGCAAGGGTGAAGAGGAGGAACAAGACAGACTCTGGAATCCCTAAGTCTTGGAAGCTCCTGGGAGGTGGCTAAGCATGCCCTCACTAGATGCTGCCCCTGGGCGCAGCTGCCCTCGACGTAAGAGAGGGTGTGCGGGTCACCTTCTGTAGCGGAACTATGGGCTTGTGGCTCAATATTAGTCTCAACGATTTGATACTCCGATGCCTATATAAATGTGCTTGTTTCCTAGGGCTGAAAATTGGCAACAAGCCTTCCCCACTGCTCAGTGCAGCCAGAAAAAAGAAAAAAGAAAAAAGCAGCATGAATTGGCCAGCAAATGGAAAAATGCTGGGGATCTTAAGTATATAAAAAGCCTGGCTAAACAGAACCAGGATGTCTCACACATGCTAATATTCACACAGTCAGCCAGTCATCAGAAGGGAAGGGAAAAAAGATAAAAGCTTGGTGTGGAAACTGGGCTTTGTTCATTAATTACCAGACAGCTCAGTCCAGTCCAAATGCAGTACTCAAAGAACAGCCATTAAACTGAAAGATCATTGGAGCAGCGATACTTATCGGAAGCTCAGATTTGTAATTTGTCTGTTCTTCATGCATATGTGATTTTTAGAAATATACATAGCTGAGGATATACAGCAATAATAAAGGAAGGTGTGTCAAAGGAGGGCTAACTTGGCTATTTCAAACCACCCAGATCTAAGTAACTAAGTTTTAGAAGAGGCTTTTCCACCTTTTAGAATAAGGTTGGTGGTGGGGCAGAGAAGGAAGCTATGCAAAAGCCAGAGAACAACCAAGTGATTCATGATGGGGGGCAGGCTGAGGCCCTAGATAGGCCTGAGAGGTTAGGCAGGCCTATCACAAAGGCACTCATTTCAGTGGGGCCACTCTGGGGCTTCCTGGAATTTTAAGGAGCTATCCATGGTCCTGAAGCCTATCTCCTGAATTGGTTTAGCACCATGGATCATGCCTTCAAAACCAGACCTCTTGAAACCACAGCGGATGCACTGCCCGACCGACATGGGGCCTGTTCAGGGGCCTCCTCACCTCTGGCCTGCAATGCAGACATGGCCGTGGGGGGTCCCACCCAGCCTCCAGCTTCCCTGCGTCACGATCCCCAAACAGTGTGTGCGCATAAGCAGAATCTGGGCTTCATCTCTTCTGGGGCAGAGCCCCACCGCACCCCACCTGTACGGGCAGCATCCAGCCCCCAGGAGGGCTGCCCCAAACCGACTTGGCCTGGAGCTGGGGAAGGTTCCCTACTTAGGCCTTTCTCCACGCTCATACCTGATACTCCATGGCGAAACCGAAGGCGCTATTCAAGAAGTGCTTGTGGCAGTGGCTGGAGAAAGCCGACACGGGCACTGAGCCAGGGGTTCTGTGGAGGAGGGCGAAAGAGGAAACACGTCTCTTTAAATACTGAGGGGTGCCGTTCGCCTGGACCGACAGGCTACGCGGCACCCAGGGCATTATGGGACACTTCCCTTTGTGGCACCCAAGGCATAATGGGACACTTCCCTTTGCCTTCGAACCTCTCTGGGGTCCCAGGATTCTTTTCTGCGGTAGTTTTGTGCAACATCATCCTTGCCTGGCTTTGGAATGACATTTTAAAAACCAGCTTCTATTTTGAAATATAGCCAAGCTTCCAAATCATTCTCACCCATCCAGCCCCTTATCTAATTTCTGCTTCTCCAGGGCATTCTTTGGTTTCCCCCTGCAAATGAAACACAGAAATTGGGATGAGCATTTGATCCCTGCCCTTACCCCCCCCGCCCCCCCCCCCCCGTGCCAGTCCACAGGAATTTATGCTGATCCACTTCCAGGCCCACCCAGACCAGTGCCGGTTCCAGGTTTTGGAGGACCCCTGGGCAAGATCCCTCCATTGGGCTCCTTCTCTTCCTGGATGCAGCTTCTTCATGCCCTGGGATGGAGGACGCACCCCTGGGTCCTCCTGTTGGGGACAACGTACCATGCAAGAAAGGAGTCTCACCAGATGGAGCTCACCCACCTCTGTCTCCAGAATAGGAACAGCAGCAGGCCGAGGATGATCAAGGGAAGCAGCCCTGCGAATAGCAGCCCAGCGATGATATCTGAGGGCACAAAAAGGGAAGCTGGAGCTTCTGGAACCTCGGGTGCATATATGTAAGCAAGAAGGCAGTGTAGCATAGTGGTTAGGAAGATGGACTGGGATTTGGGAGATCTGGGTTCTAGTCCCCATTCAGCCATGCAAATTGGTGGATGACTTTGAACCCATTGCTAACTTTCGGTCTAACCGACCACACAGGGTTGTTGTGAGGAAAAAGTGGGGAGGAGGAGGGAAAAGCTCACATATGCCAGCTTTAGGCTCTTTGAGGGAAAGGCAAGATAGCAATGTAGCCAATATTTTACATAATAAATGTGAGTTCAGTGCTCAACCATTTCCCTTCAGTAACTGTGTATTTGTGCAATAGCGCCCTAGGAGAAATTTTTTATTAGGAAAATGGTGCTGAGTGAGCCAGGCAAGAAGTAAAACAGCCCCTCCACCAGCATGGCCGCTCTGGCTCAAAGCAGAGACCCCAGTGGGTAGCTTCTAAGTTTTAAAATGCTGGATAGACTCAGTTACAAATCTCCCCATATGTGGTCTTTGGCCCACAGTTTCCTTCCTTTCTTCCTTCCAAAAGTGGGGATTCTATTTATAGGAACTGCCTGCTCTCTATTATTTCTATCTAAATCTGGGGTATCCAGCTTGCTGCTTCTACATTTGCAGGAGAAGCACTGAATCTTTTCTTTTTTGGGTTACCCTGCATGTACGGGCTTTTTGTCATGTTCTTTCTTTCCTCTCTCTCTTCTTTTTCTATGCTGCTTTCATTTCCCACCCCCTTTCCCCTTCTTCTTTTTGTCATAATTTTAAATGAAAATAACAATTAGTAATTAAACCCAATGATTCTCCCAGTGCCACTCAGATTCAGGAGCCAAAAGATAAGTTGCATTTCTTCAAAGAGCAACCATTGGGACCAGCCACAAGCAGCAACTGTCAAGTGTGTGATACAAAGGTCAGGGGCGGGAAGGCTGAATTCTTCCCCCGCCAGGCATTTTGCCCACAGAAATCCCCTCCTTCTAAAATGGTGCTTGCACAAGGCATCCGTGTGAGCAGTGTGGTGAGGGAATGGTGTGTGAGGGGGGTAAACACCCTGCACCTGTGCAGGCCCCAGTGTGATCAGAAGGGGCTTCCTGGTCGCTTGAGAAATCCTCCCTATACACTGAGAGCAGAATCTGCCCCCAAGAAGCCCACCAAAAGATCTCACCTGCACTGTTGGTAGAACATTCCAGAGGCTCAGATACCTCATGCTGGTCGTACCAAGAGGTTTTCACGCGAATCCGGTAATGTCGGAAAGGCTGTAGCTTTCTAATCACCACAGTTGCATTGCAGCCTGGCCATTTGACCCACGGCTGGTCAGACACCAGGACTTGGACCTCAGTGATCTCATGGGATGGGCAGGTCCAGGATAACTTGAGGCTGCGGCCGCCTTGTAAGACCTGGCACTGCAGGCTGCTGATGCGTTCTGGCTCTGAAAAGTGGAGAGCAAGAGAATCGTGGGAATTTCTCTCCCTGCAGGAGGAGAGAAATTAAGGAGGATTGGATTGTTGCTGGATTAAGAAGGCCATCTTAGGTGTGCTTAGACAGAAGAATGCTCCCAGCTAGCACAGATTTTTTTTGCTGTCTAGATGGGCCTAGGATTGTGCCTTACATCCTTAATAATTTTAGAAAACAAAAAAGAAGTGAACCAGAATCACATTTGGAAACAAAATTAAAGCTAAATTTTACCATTTAAAATTAAATCTAAACTTTACTTGAAATCTAAGCCTTACCATTTGCAAAGCTAACCAATGGGGGGGGGAGGCTTAATTACAATACCAAGAAATACCAAATTTTATGCTTAAATAATAATAGTTTTGTTAATCCTATTTCCTGATCATTTACCTCTTAAACTACCCCTTGAACATTACCGTTCCAGGACATCATAAATAAACTCGGCTTTTCCACAAAGGCTCCTTCTCTTAATCTAACCATATTTGCAAGCTTAGCCAGGCACTTTGCATCCCGCAGGAACATTTGCCATTCAGCCAGAGAAAGAGGATTCATTTTCTCTTTTTATATTTTCCTTATCATCCACTCATACTGGAACCCCAACCATCCTCCAGATGTTCGCAAAGTGAAATCTAGAGCTTCTGCAGGCAGGTCCGAATTCAGGTGCCAGCCTCCTCACTGTCAGGTCCACCCAGGCAAGGGGGCATCTCCATGCCCTGGGGGACCTGCTGCGTCTCGCCTTTCCCCCCACCCCGCCGGCTGTGCCCCCTTTTCTTTCCCCCAGACTCGGAGAGGAGGACTCGACAGCAGGGGCCAGACAGACCCGTGGCCTAATGCAGCTTAAGGCTGCCAGGGTGGGATGGAAACTTTTGCAAGGAGGAGTTTTGCAAGTCAGACTTGCCTCTCCCCATTCATAATCCAACCCTCTGGACCTCTCCAGGCAGTGTGTGTGTCCACAGGCCCCTGCCAAGCCCTGCATCCCATGCTGCTGCCACGGTGAGAGGCAATGACCCCCTGCATGCAAAAGCCTTTGATACAGCCAGGGCACCGCCCCTTCTTCGCTTCCCCTTCCCTTCCTGCATCCGGAGGGTAAGTACTTGTGGCCACTTCCTGCTCGACGCCGCTGCTGCAGGTGATCAGGTTCTTCCTCCTCGCCACGCTCCATACTGTAAACGTGTAGTTGGTGCTTGGAGAGAGGCCACTCAAAAGAACCCCTCTGGAGGACTGGTTCAGAAACATCCTGATTCCTTTGGATTCTGTTGAATTCTTCCACTGGAGCTTGAAGGCACTGACAGCCGAGCTCGGGGGCATCCAGGCTAACTCGACTGCAGTCTGGTTGATTGCTTCAGCGCGGAAATTAGTTGGGGGACATGGGGCTGAAGGAAGGAAGGAAGGAAGGAAGGAAGGAAGGAAGGAAGGAAGGAAGGGTGAGATGTTAGAAGAGGCAAGTCACAACGGTTTCTTTTAATGCAGATATTGCAAGATTCCAATCACCATCAGCCCCAACCAGGATGTTCAACTGTGATGGGATCCGGAGTCCAAGAATATCTGGAGGGCACTTGCTCCCCACCCATTTTAAAGCAGTGACACAGTTCAAAAAACCCTGCAATGCTATGTGTAAATTCCAGGGGTTCTGCAGGTGTCAAACCTATCTTTGAAGCCCATCCATGTTAATTTTAAAAAATTGCTCCAGGTGAGGCAGACGCAGCTTCTCCCGTCCTTCCCTTTGCTGGATTTCTGATCCATGCAAGTCACAGACGGGTACCTGCACCTATAATTATAAGCAGACATGAGAACACTCCTGGTCATATTAATCTACAGCAGTTTTAAAAATAGAATGTGTTGCTGGCATGCAGCCCCTTGATCAGTAATTTTATTGGTTTAGAGTTCATGCCTGATTTATTTATTTATTTATTTATTCATTCTAAGACTTATATCCTGCCTCATTAGCCAGAAAGGCCCTCTGGGTGATTTTTCCACTCCTTCTCAATTCCTGTTTAGCCAGAAGAACCAGAGAGTGTGCCACTCTTTGCCACGGTTTTCCAAGGCTTTGTGTGTCTTGATCTCCTGTCCCCTTTCAACAGAACCAGTGCAGAATTTTGCACGGCCTCAGAGGAGCATTTTAGCAGCCTTGGTGAGCTTGTAGGTACAAAGGGCATTAAGATTCTTGCTGTGCCGTGTTTGACCCATAAATGGTACACATGAAATTCCAGGGTGCTGGTGACTGAGTACACCTTGATGTCATTGTCTCCACTGTCACATTTCCGTAGTTTTTCATTACATGGTAAGAGAAAAAAAATGGCAAAGGAACAGAAGGCAAAAAAAACCCCAACCTGCAGTAAGCTGTGGATGCATGGAGTGCCGGAGGGTCTCCAAACATGTCGAACTACAGCTCCCATCATGCCCCACCAGCAAGAGCCTCCTGGGGGCAATGAGAGCTGTAGCCAACAAATCTGAATGGCTCCAGGTTGGGGGAGGCCACTCTGCTATAAAATCTGGCAAATGAAAAGCAAAATGTTGCGGATTTGGAAAATGGCCCTGTTTGGACAGTTCACCTATCCTTTATTTCCTTCTCTTTGTGCAAGGTGCTCAGAGTGGTGTGTGTTGTACTCTCCCCCTCCCACAACAACTTCACAACACCCCTCCAATGCAGATCAGCCAAAGTGTACTTTGCGGCCTTGTGTGGATCTCAATCTGGATCCGCCTAGTCCTGATCTGGACTGGAATCACTACACTGCATCGCCCGTGGCCTAAGCCAACCCTCGTAAGAGAGTCACTCACATGTTAGAGTCCAGTTACTGACGTCCGCACTCCTGACTCTGTGGATTTCAGAGGCCAGCTTCACCAGGTACAGACTCCCTGACTCGAGAGAGTCGATGGTCCAGTTGGAGCCACTTGTACTTCCGTTTCCCAGGGGCACGGAGCCGTTTTCAGTGAACCAGCTCACCCAGTACAGGTACTGTGTCGCCCTGGGGTCTTCAGGGGCATCCCAGGAAATGGAGGCACTGTGGTCGCTGTAACTTTTCACAATTACATTCCTGGGGCTTCTTGGAACTGAGGAAAGAACAGATTTAATTTCTCATGGTCCCAAATGGTCATGGAGAAACGGGAACTGGGCCCCTTCACCTGCCATGAATGCCAAGCCACAAGCTACCTGCTTGGTTGAACTTGCAGCATCCTAAGGCAGCTGCCAGGACCTCCATGCTTACCACCACTTGAACTGGCTGAAGTCTGAATGACTGGCTCCGCAAGCTGCCCTTTAAATTCCCCAACAATGCCCCCGCCCCCCGGAGCATTTTGGGGAACTGAATGGATGTCCTTTGGATTTTGTGCCATGTCCCCAAGGGAGTGACTCTCTGGGTGATTCTGGGAAATAGAAACAGTGACGCCATCACTGCTGTCCTCTAACGCCATCCCACCAGTGGAGTGGAAGTGAATGTCGAAGCACAGGCGCTCCTGGGGGCTGTCTGCATAAGAAGAGTCCAGATTCCAGGCACATGTCTTGAGCCATGTCCACACAAACGAGCTATAGAGACTTTCCACTCCAGCAGAAGTGGAAAGTTATTTGTAAAGCAAATGGATCTCCACTGCAACCACCCCACAAAATACTTTGCATGACACCATGGAATAATAAATGGTTGCTGGGGAAATTCATCTCTTCCCACCCAAGTAGTATTTATTTATTTTATTTATTTATTTTTCGATTTATAGCCTGCCTTTTTTCCTACAAAGGGCTCAAGACGTGCACATGGTGGGCATGTCATGAGCGGAGCCGGCTGGTGCCGGAAGTCAGACTAGATGGCCAGGGAGGCCCCTTCTGACTCGCTCTGTTTCTATGTTTTCTATCTCCTCCTCCATCTTATCCCCACAACAACCACCCTGTGAGGTAGGTTGGGCCGAGCGTCTGTGACTGGCCCAAAGGCACCCAGTTGGCTCCATGGCTGAGTGGGGACTAGAACCCAGATCGCCTGAGTCCCAGTCCCACGCTCTTAACCACTGCACCACACTGGCTCTCAGTATGAGTGTTGCAGCTAGGCTTAGAGGACACGAGGAATCTGAGGGTGGGGAGGCAGTGGAGGCCAGCAAGCCTGCTGGTAAAACGGGCTGGTGCCACCTCCCGGTGAGCCCTGCCTTCGCAACGTCCTACCTGTGGTAGCTGACATGGCCATCACAGGGCTGGAGATGTTCTTGATGGTGATGACATAGACCTGAATTTGGTAGGTAACGCCAGCCATCAGCCCATTCACCAGGTGTGGGCTTCTGAAGACAATGCTGCAGGACAACAGGCAGACACTGTAGCGGTAGGTGCCAGCGTGAAGGTCCCCAGGTGACTTCCATCCAATCTCCAGAGAATCCACAGTGCGATTTTCTATCACGAGGTTCAGGACTGGTGAAGGCGCTGAGACAAAGAAACCAGAAAGCTTCAGGACTCTGAAATGCTGGCAGATCTCAATTCAGGATCATCAGTGGGTCCTGCAACAGTGCCTTGCAGCGTAGGCTTCTCTAATTCAGGCTGTCAGCCAGCCGTACCCTTTCAGGACACTGCATTCCATTTCTCCCTCCTGGAGGACAAGCCAAGAAAGTTTTCACTCTTCGATTACATCTATGCATTTTACTTTGCTGCTAAGAGGTGTCTTGTAGGTCCTGATGAATGGAAAAGTGGGGTATATTCTAAGCACACTAAAATATCCCAGGACGAGAGCCAGGATGCTGCTGGAGACAAAGCTTTCATTGTGCAATTGCCCAGCCTCACGCACTGAATTGAGATCTTTGCCTTCCATTAGGGCCTCTCTGTGCTTTCCTGAGGCTTCTATCTTCTGGTTTCTACAGAGCATTTGCTAGCAAGGAAAAAGCAGAATAGCTGAGCAGTGTCTTCGGACTGGTGGCCTTAGCAGCCTTCTACCCACAAACACCCCACATTATTTCAGATTTTCAGTCGTGTATGCACTTCCAGGCCACTCGGGGGAAAGGTTAAGCTGACCGTTTACCGAAAAAGAATGGGACTCCTCTGTTCTCCATGCAATCCTTTGGGCAGGCATCTTGTGTCTGGGGGTGGATGAGTGGGCAGAAGATAAATATGGATATGCTGGTAGGTCTCAGGTTGATTTACAGTAGGTCAGCGAGGACTGCTGACTCCCGATTGTTTAATAACAACAGCAGCAAAATGACTCCCACCCCACCCTAAATTACTCTGCTGGAAGGAAGGGTGAGCAGGAATGAATCTTTGTGGGGAAGGACCATGAACATCACTCAGGTCTGATGTTGCTGCTGTGTGGTTTATGTGCCATCAAGTCACCTCCAACTTACAGTGACCCTGTCAATTAAAAATCCTCCAGAATGGCTTATCCAAGACCGCCCTGCTCAGCACCTGTACACTGAATGTTTTGGCCTTTTTGCAGAGTCAGTCCTTCTCCTACTGGGTCTTCCTTTCCTTCCTCTGCCTTTGACTTTGCCTAGCATGACCGTCTTCTCCAGGGAGACTGGCCTTCGCATGATGTGCCCAAAGCAAGACAGCCTCAGTTCCGTCATTTTTGCTTCTAGGGGGAGCTCTGGATTGAGTTGATCTAGGAGCCACTTGCTCATCTTTCTCCTGGTTCAGGGAATTTGCAAAGCTCTCCTCCGGCACCATGTTTCTAATGCGTCTGTTTTCTTCCTGACAGCTTCCTTCATTGTCCAGCTTTCGCACCCACACACAGTGATCCGGAATACAATAATGCGGATCCCTAATGAAACACAGTTACTTTGTGCATTGCTTACTGGGAAGAATGAAGGGCTGAATTGTAATGAACTGCTGGCATTACCTTTGGTTGCTGCCAGAGCAAAGATTGCAACGTTTTGGAAAGGGGTCTCATTTAGGGAATATCCTGCTAGGATATGGTCAGTGGCATTGATGGAAAAGCTGACCACCTGCTTTCAATTGGCTAGAGGGGAAATAAAGAGATGGTTTCGATAGAATCTGGTGTCCATTCTTGATGAATTTCTGAAGGATTGATGGAGCGGATGAACTTCCACCTGATCACCTTGATTTCCCGACTAGTAGGTTTTAATAGCACAGAAACAGACCATGTAATAACTGATTATATTAACTGTATTACTGTGGATGCTAATAATGTGACTGCATTGTATGTGTGTGTGTATCTGAAAATGGAAAATGAAAAAAAAGGAATATGATAATGTGGGTGGCCTTGGTCCAGTGAAACGTCATTATCCTTGATGACCTTGTCTAGTTCCCTCACCATTATCTTTCCAAATCTCAGGCTTCTTTGAATTCTGTGGCTGCAGGAAGATCTTTGACTTGATGACTGAGCTGAGGTATGTAAAATATTTCACAATGTCAATTTCTTCACTGCTGAAGCGTTACAGAACTTCTTTAATTCTTCTGTAGGCATCATTTTTGTTTTCTTAACGTTCAGCTGCAGTCTTGCTTTTGCATTTGCTTTTTCTTTATTTTGCATTGTCAGGAGTTGTTACGATTCATTTTGGCCTCCTTAAATTGTCTTCTGCCAATTTTCATTCCTTCCTCTGATTCTAATCCAGCTTCCCTTAGGCTATGTTCTTCATACAGATTGTAGAGAGAGGGAGATAAAATACACCCTTGTCTGAAGCCTTTGCCTGTGGGAAACCATTCCATTTCCCTGTGTTCTTTCCTAACTATAGCTCCTGGTCCATGGTACAGGTTATACATCAGGACAATCCAGTGCTGAGGCACACCCAGTGCTTTCAGGATCATCCATTGCTTCTCATGATCCATACAGTCAAAAGCTATGTTGCAATCTATAAAGCATAGACTGATCTGCTTCTGAAATTCTTTGGTACACTCCAGCAGCAAATATTATTTGCAGTATGATCTCCGTTCAGTTCAAAACAAATTCCTGGGCTAAGATTTATTAACTTCTAAGCATCTGTCTTTTTTCACCAGCCCCACAAGCCTAAAATGTGTCCACCCCTGCTGAAGGTATGGTCCCTGATGCTGCCAGTAGGTGGCGGCACTGGGACTCACCAGTGGTCACGTTGATGGACTTCCCCTGGCTGCATGTCCCATCCAGACTTCTGTACATGGTCATGACATAGTCCTGCCCGGCCGACAGCCCAAAGATGGAGACTGTGCAATTCTTCCAGCTGATACCGGAGATAAGCTTAGATTTGCCATCAGAGGTGATGGGGCAGCAGTCAACTTGGTTTTGCCAGAGAAGAATTACAGAACGGTTGGTCTGGTTTGAAAGACTGATGCCCTCCATGGGGCTTGGGTCTGCACAGAAAGAGAATTTCAGGGTCAGAAACTAGCCAGCTGCCCTCCCCATGGGAAAATCTGGCTGCTCATTCACAAGAACAGAGGTGTTGAACCTCATTCCACGTGAGGACCAAGCTTAGTTTTGGAGAAGTTTTGAGGGGGCTACATTCCAGCGGTGGGTGGAGCCAAAGGTGAAAGGGTGAGGCCAAAGGTATGAGCATATCATTGCCAACAGCTCTTACACCAACATCTCTGTCTTTCTGAATGAGGAAACACTGCACAAAAGCCAAGAAACACTAAATGACTGCCAGGCAGGAAAGGGAATTGGGACTATGGGAAAAGGGAGTGGCCCCTTGGGAGGCCCTGCAGGGCCAGACTGAAATCACAGGTGGGCTGGATTTGGCCTGCATGCCTGAGGCTCTGCATTAGACCTAACGATGCCAGTCTTTCCCAACCTGGGGTACCCCAGGTGTGTTGGACTCCAGCTCCCATAATCCTCAGCCACTGGCCATTCTAGCTGAGGTTTGTGGGATCTGGAGTCCAATACATCTGAATGCTACCAGGTTGAGACAGGTTGATGTATATTGCAGAACAGATGCTATTCTCCTTCCTTGCTTGTGTCAGTGACCCTGTGTCAGAAAAGGGGCTGGAGAGCAAGCAGTAAATACCTAGAGAAGGCAGTGGACCCTCTCCCCAAACCCTCTCCTCTCCCCAGACCCCTTTGGGAGACCAGAGCGTCTCTGAGGGACTTTCCAGGTTGCACTGTTTACTCCCCTTCTATTCCTACATCTTCAACTTGATGGGAATTTGCACAAAGGACAGCCATATGAGCAAACCTGGCCTGGCCTGCCCTTCACCCCTCTCTTGCCCAAAGCACCCACATTTCTGGGCTCGGGGATTAGAGGAAAACTTGCAAAGACGAACCCACACGTTTCCTTTGGGTGGGAAAACCAGAAAGCAGGAGCGATGTTCTGCTTTCCAGGTCAGGTCATGCCCCAGCCCTGATCTTACTGACGCACTTACTGGAGCACAAGACTGGACACGGTGGGGAGGTGCAGCTCATATTCGTGGTGATGTCTGTTGCGTTGCTGCAGCCCACACCCTGCACCACCCCTTCCAGTCCAGCAACAGTTGCAGAGCTGTTTGCAGGGTGGACCTGGACGAAAAACCTTTCCTCGATGGACTGGGGATCTTTGCAGCAACCTGCAGAGACAGTTGACCAATTAAGAGCAGCGACCTCCAGCTCGATGCCTTCCAAAAGTGTTTGACTACAACTCCCATCACCCCCCACAGAACTGAGAGCAATTTCTTTTTCCCCATTTTTATACCACCCACTAGTCAAAGCTCTTTGGCCTCTTTACTGAAAGCCTTAAAATACTATACCGCATATTATATAGAAACTATATACAGAAATATAAAAACAGACAGACATGCACATAAAACAGTTATAATCACCTATGGTAAGAAATTCCAGGACCCAGTTAAAAACTCGGGCAACTGCACCCCTCCAGAGGAGGCCCATGATTCTGAGTTCAGAGGCATCCTGCAAGATCACACCCTTATTCATTTATTCACGACTCCCAACTACAGCAAGCGTAAAAATAGAATGGGAATTGTAGTCCTTCCCATCTGGAGTTCATCAGGTTGTTTACTGCTGCAGAAGGAAGGGTTCCCATCTGCTACCCCAGAAGCTAGAAGGGCTATTTACTTACTGGCTCTTGTCATGGAAGGCTCTGTAGTAGTTGTGTTTTCTTTAATACTGTCTGCTGTGGGTGAGGAAAAGCCAAAGAGAGGTGTGTTGTGAAAATATGCAGTTTGTAAACTCTCACTGAGGATGATGTACATTATTGCAAACAGAAAACCAGAATCATGTTTGAAACCAAAAACCTCCAAAAATGAAAGAGGATGAAACTATAAATGCAGGGGCCAATTGTGGCAAACCAAGTTTTGTTTTTAACCACAGATTCATCAGTAGAAGTCCATAATTTCTTGAGCCCATTTCTCTTCTCTTTCTCAGCCCTGGAGGATCAACCCTTCTTTATTCAGTTAAAAGAGGACGCATTTGGCTTTGCATGGGTTGGAACAGCCTTTCGTTTGCTACGGTGAATCATGCAGCTGTGGGAACTGGACATATTGTGCTCACTCTTTTTGACTGAAGCCACACTTGAAGCATGGTTCCCACCCTGATGCATCTCCTAAGGGTGGGGCCTGTCCACTCCATTCCTCTCAGGGCAGGCTGCCCCACAGCACTGGGGGAAGGGGCTGCTTTATAATGGTGCCCCTTGGACTCCACCCTGCAGGCTTCAGGCTATGCAAAGTGATGTGCCAGTTAGGGAAATCTGCCACCTAGTGGCTGAAGGTGATACAGCAGGCTTCAAATATATCCACACATTTAAATCCACTACAATGAATTAATGAATTTTGAAACATAAGTAACTCCAAGATGCGCTTAGTATGCAAGGCAAATTTCAGATGTGCAAGCTGTGATGCAGACAGATAGACAGCCATTGCTGCTGCTATTGCCATTAATATTACATTGCGGTTATGATTACTACTATTAATTAATTTATTTAATAATTTTTCTAGCCTTCCCTTCAGTGTGACAGATTCCAGAGCATCTTCTAATAATAACAAATGCATGTCGTAAGCAGAGCCGACTGAAGCCAAGGGTCAGACTAGATGCCCGGGCAGCCCCTTCTGACTCAATATGTTCCTAACAAAGGGAATGTTTGTTAAGGGAAGGTTCCTAACAAACAGAACCTTCAAATGATAAAAACTAAAATGAATCAAGCCAGTAACAAATCACAAAGAAGAGAAGCAATAACAGCTACACATACGCAGGCAAATAAAAATATCTTGATCTGGTGCTGAGAAGATTTTCCTGTCAGGGCCAATCTAACATCCTTGGGTTGGATGATTCGAGCTCAGGATGCCACCACAAAAGAGGTCCTCTCTTTTGTACATGTTATGACGGGCATCACCACCGGTTCATACCTGGCAGAGGGCTTCATCTGAAGCTCTTACTCTATGAACCATCCAATTTCCGAGTGCTGCAGCTTAAGTAGCCAAACGGGCACCTTCTAGGCACCTGCAAGCTCATGGATGCTTTTTAGAGGTGCTAAATTGGGGTGGGGCTAAAAAGCCAAAAATAGTCCTATGAGAAATGAGCAAATGGTGTGAGATATCCTGGAAAAGGAAATGGCTGGCTGGCTGGGGCCCTGAATTGGGTCACCCCACAAGCATCTTCTGACAGTGAATTCCTGAAGTCCCGCTCCTTTCCCTGCGAGGGATTTAAGAGCTTCACTTTCCCATTTTGGTGGGGCCCCCCCTTCCACTCCAGCCTTATGCACCAGGTGAAGGAAACCTCCGGTTTGAGGGCTGGATGTGGCCCATGAGGCCTCCTTATCCAGCTTGTGGCCTCATCTCTGCCTTCCCCTGCCCCATGTCATATAAGCCCCTCTTAGTGCCAGTGCCGGCATTCTGAAGGATGGAGGGAGCAATCCTATGGAGACCACAGGATGGTTCAGATTCCCAGGCCCAGGAACGGTCATCCCAGCAGAAAGAAAGATCTCACTTAAGAGGCTGCTTCTTGACCTAGCAGCCACTCACCATGTTGTTCAGGCTGAAGCAACAGCAGCACCTGGAAAGGAAAAGGCGGAAGCTGATGATGGATGGAGTTGGGGATTTCTGACTTCCCAGCAGGCCTGGTTAATTGATATTGCCACCGTTTTCCATAAACACATTTCGACACTGCTCATACTCCGTTAGCCTGCACGTGTAGAAGTGCCTTCTGCATGCAAAGCGGGGCAACTTTGCACTATGTGAATTTGCCTTCTTAAAACCATGAATGTGGACTTTGGCTGACCCTCAGCCGCATCTTGTTTTCAGCATTTGTGTGTTAACAATGACGGTTGTGTTTGCCTTTCTTTCTGTCCTCTCTTTTCTGGGAGATTGCCAAGGTTGAAGACTAAAAAAATCCAAGTTTTGTATGCCAGCATATAAGCCTAAATATTAAGCAGTGACATTACAGGAAATATTGACATGCAAATACTCATCATTCACACTTCTCTTTATGAGGCACCTGTTGTGAACCAGGGTTCCTGCCTCTGCACATTCAAAGCCACAGAACTTTCTTGCAAAACATTCTTTACTGTCAAAGCATGCACAGAGCTATTTATGGAACCCAATCTGGCATTTACCTCTAGGAATGCTCCTTATGAGTATGTTTTGGCCCCATCCTTTCAGGAGGGGAATTTTGGAAACAAGCAAACCTCCTCTCTGCACAGTGATCTTCTGACTGACTTGCCCTCCTCTGCTGATGCAGGATATGCTGTATCCACCTCAGATGTTCCCCTGCTCCAGCTGTACATCTTGGTTATTCCCAGGGACTGCCAGTCCACCTGGGGAGCCTGGCCTTGAGAGAAGCGTCTCTGCTTCTCTCATCTCAATGTCTGGAATTGACCCACATGCCAGCTCTTCCTCTTCCTCCTCTGAATCCCAGTCAGCGGCCTTGAGAATGCGTGCCAGGAGCAACCGTCTTGCTCACTCCCAACAGCACCCATTATTGCTCTGTGTCCTGTTAAAAAACCAGGGGACTCTCTGTGCTGAGAATAGCTGTCCTAATTGCATTTGCCTGGCATGGACAGGGAGAATTTTGTTTGCCTCCTTAGTTGATTTTTTTTAAAATAAGAACATTTGCAGGTTTCTTCATATTGGAGACAGGGAATTTTGAGATTAAAAAAGAGCAAACATAGGAAAAAGTGGAACTGGTGGGTGCAGCGATGTGGCTGAGGATGGACCATGGGGCCAAAGTCCTGGCCCCTCAAGTCCGGCTGTGTTGGAGCACAGCTCAGCAGGGCTGAACTCCCAAACCCGCTAAGATCATCTGCTCCACCAGCCTACCCTTGCCGAAAGAAGGTGCAGAGGATCTCTGGGGCATCTGATCCTCTGTCCCCTGCAACCATAAGCTGGCTTTTCACCTCCTGCTTCATCTGCCCACCATCTTCCCCTGAAGGCAAATGCCCTCTTCTTTCCCCTCCATATATTCCTTTTATTTATTATTTATATATTTAAAACATTTTTATGCCGCCCCCATCGCAACAAAGCCTCGGGGCGGCTCACAACAAGTACATAATATAATTGTTTTACAAACACACTTTATACAGTACATTAATGCAAGATCTTCCATTTTAATAAAATTTTGTAGTCTGCCCCATTTCTTCTTGTTGTATTTTGGACCCTTTGCTGCATGCAAGCAGATGGATGAGTTCAAGAATATTTACCCTTTTAAAAAATTTACTCTTTGGCCAGAAAGGACAATAGATAAGAGAAATACATCCTGATAATATTACAGGGATTTTCTATCTTTCCCAGAAAAGAAGCCAGAAAGGAAGTCCCCTAATCAGGGATGCTGCCCCACCTGGAGGATGGACTAAATGAGCTGCCCTAGTGTGTCTTGGATGTTTCCAGACCACCACCACCCCCCTGCCAAAAAAAAGAAGGGGTGGAGAGAATGCTTCTGATCTTCAAAGCAGACTAGACTCGAGAACAGCTAAAAGCTTCCTCACATACTTAACTCATGAGATCTAAGTTCTAGTCCCCTATCAGCCTTGAAGTTCACTAGGTGACTAGCCACAAACTCTCAGCCTAATCTTCCTCACAGGATTGTTGTCATGAGGA